GATTATAGAAAATGACAACAAATCTCACATGCAGTGATGCAAGCTGGAATGACAGTGCTCAGATTCCTCCCAACTTTACATTCAGAAGGAAAAAGTGGATAAGGTGAACAGGAAGTAGCATTACATTTCTGACAGACTAGGAGAGTTCAGTGTCAAATAGCTCAAATTTTCATGAAGCCTGCCTTTAGTATTAACAGGCTGATAATGCTGTCAAAATCCTTGTAAAACACTTTGGCTAGGGAGGGTTTCATGGTCCTGACTTACTCACCACACGCACCCTGAAGACAATGTTTCTGTTAAAAAGTTCCTCTAAAACCGAGTGAATGATCCATCACTAGAATAAATGGCTCTTACTTGTTCTTTGCTCAGTCATAGAATCATAGAATGGTTTGGGCTGGAAGGAACCTTAAAGATCATCTAGATCCAACACTCCTGACCTAGGCAAGAACATCTTGCCCAGGTTGCTCAAAGCCCCATCCAACCTGGCCTTGAACACTTCCAGGGATGGGGCAGCCACAGCTCTCTGGACAACCTGTACCAGTGCCTCACCACCCTCACAGTAAAGAATTTCTTCCTTGTGTCCTACCTAAACCCACTCTCTTTCCTTTTGAAGCCATTAGCCCTTGCCTTATCACCATGTGTCCCTAAAAAGTCCCTCTCCAGCTCCTTGTAGGTCCCCTTTGGGTACTAGGAGGCTGCTATAAGGTCTTCCCAGAGCCTTCCCTTCTCCAGGCTGAACAAGCCCAACTCTCTCAGCCTGTCTTCACAGAAGAGGTGCTCCACCCCTCGGATCATCTTCATGGCCCTCATCTGTATTCACTCCAACAGGTTCATGTCTGACTTCCTCTTTGTTGGGATGCATTGCTCTTGAGCTTAGAGGAAGATGAGATGCAACTTCGATGGTCCTTGAGTTCCCTTCCTGGAAGAATACAGTGCTAGGGTTACCCTGACAGGTTTTGAATGAAATGTATGGTATGTTAGAAATAAGAAGAAAGGGAGGGAGGAAGGCAGGCAGGCAGGAAGGATCTTACTGTGACTAACATTGGGCACATATGTATTTCAGCAGCTGAGTATCAGTGCAGAATGAGCAGAAAACTTACTGAGGAAATAATTTCAACAGGTATCAACTGCTGAGATGATTTTCAATGGAGCACAAAGCTTTGTTCAAACACATTTTGCTAGCAGGAGAAATAATGGCCTGGCAATATATTCATGTAGCACTTTGCCCTACATAAAACTCACAGAGGAGCTTAGGGGCCCAACATCATCTTAAATGTAGACATCATATAGTCCAAATCCAAAAATGCTTCTTCAGCTCAGCCCTTTGAGCAGATTGCTGTCTGTGGATACTTTGCTCAGAATCACATACCACTGCTCTATCACTTTGAGGACAGTCTCTTCTATGTTAGCCCAAAGCAGGACTTGCATTGAGAAATCTCAAAATAACTTCTTCCTTCTCTGTGTAGTTATGTAAGGCATTTTTTTAAAAAAAGATCTTTCAACTCAGGCTTACAGTGATAACAGTATAATAATGGTGTTTCCAACAGTGTGCAGCTCTCCCCAAGAGACACTGGAAGATATTTTGTCAAATTAGTTCCTCAACATCACTAAGTCTGAGAAAAAAAGCATAGATCAGTAGTTAGGCCTGTGCCCTTCTATCCTAGTGGAGGCTGGATAGTGTTTCTGGCAATGATAGCCTCAATCAGGCAGTTCTTGCTCCAAAGAAAAGTCTTCCTAAAACTGAAGACAAGACTTCAAACACACAATCACATAGTATTCTGGCTTTAAGATCCCCAGAACAGACTGGATGGTGTCTTGAATGAAGATGAATGAAACAGTTTTAAGTCATTTTCTGCAATAGGAATAGAAAAGAATGGTACTGTGGTTTTAAAATGAGTTTAACTTTCTCTGCAGACAACAGAACACAAAACCACTTAAAATATCTGGTAGGTATTATATAATGCTTTTTAGAAACTTTCCCTGCTTGCTCCAGTTTCAACTGGGGTATGAACTAAAGTCAGTGGAAGACTTTTTGCTGACATCAATGGGCTCTGAATTAGGACCTCATTGCTTGCAACCCAGCTTGTGTGCTACATTAATTCAGAAATGGATTTTAACGGTTTCTTTCACCTCACAATCTCTTGAGTTGTGCACTGAGAGACAGAGGGCTTTTTTTCCTACTCTTTTTGGAGGACTTTTTAGAGGACAGTAAAGCACAATGCAGCAATAGCTACAGTGTGACTTGCACTTTGCAAGTGGAATTTCCAGAAGGCAGAAACTGCTTTTCAGAGAAAAAATGTTCTCCAAGTGTTCCCCAAAACAAAAAGCCACTTATAGAAATCTATTCCAGTAACAACCTGGATTAGGAAAATATAAATCATAATAAGAATATGAGTGGACACAGTCTGAAGAAACTGGGAAAAGGGACAGAACCAGTTTTGGAGAACAACTGACATACAAACAGCTTTACAGACTGCACTGCAGCTGAGAAATAACATCCTAACCTTAGTACTTTTAAGCAAGCATTTTCAACAGACACATGTTCCAACTTGGTGTAAATGAAGCAACAAGGGGCAGGAATACTGCTGTCATCCCGTCACTTCACTGTCCCCCCACTATGGAATCGTACAATTAACACAGCTGTGCTACAGAGAGGAATGTTCTTATAAACTGTTGTTCTGCCCCATAACTTCAGCTCTATTTAAGATGAAAATAAACACAATTTTGGTTCTTCTAGTTTTTTAAAAGAAAGAGTTTTAAAACTCTCTGCTTACTCTATTTTTATACACCTGAAACGTGCCTGCTCTCATACCACGCTTGGTGGACCAATAGTACATGAAGATTGCTGGCTTCTGACTTTCAGACAAGAGGTTTTACAGTCCATGAGGTCCATTCACAGATTTGTTTATTAAAATTGTATTTCTATTGTTTTCTACTGTTTTCTTCCCCTCAAGGACAGGTTGCTCATGCTCCCTCACACAGCTATTCCCAGCTGAGCTCTGAAACACAGGGCAACAACAAGCTCTTGTGGCTGGGGGTCACACCAGCAGCCACCAAGCCCTAAAAACCATAGCTCTGAATGCAGTGTGTTTTGCCTCTCTTAACTGACCCACTCTGTTACCAGCTGTGGGTACTTGCTCACATGGTTAAGCTATAACAAACTACAAAAAGAAGAATAAATTCTTTTGACAGAAATTCTCAGTTCAAGCAGTTTCACCAAGGATATATTGGAGTGACACTGAAGTACAGTACAATGGCTAGCACCACTGTGGGGGAAGACAGCTAGAGCTGCATAACACCAGCTTTTTGTTAAGCTTGTACTGCCTTTCATAAAGCATATGATGGTTTGCCTTTATGGGATCAAACTTAATAACAATGTTCCTTCTACATGGAAGAGAGAGACTACATTAAACACACATCCATGCATCTATCCCTAGCGCATCCTTCATAGTCCAGCATCCTTTTACCAAAGTCCAAACTTCTATCCTCAACTGCATGAGCAAGGAATAGATCTTACATGATGCTGCCACAAAGTCCTTGAAATGGCAGTCACCACTGTCTGACTTGATCATAAGTCATACATCAGTTGATGTGTCCATAGGAGAACCAGAGAGGAATGATAAAGGAGAAGCCAGGAAACATGTAGTTCTCAATGCCAAATACAGGTTTATCTGGACTGCAGCAATCAACTGGTCCAAATTTATAGCTAATGGGTCTTCATTGTCAAATCCCAACTTTCATAAGCAGGCTGATAACAATGCTGGTGGGTGACCAGAACTTCACAGTCCATCAAACCCTCCAGATGCAGAGGAAGAGAGAATTTGGCCAGCTCCGAAGAGGAGGAATAATGGACAAAAGGAAAAAGAACAGTTCTAAACATCTGGGGAGGACATTTATGCTTCAGCAGGTGTACTGCCTTTGAAATGACATAAGATGAGGTAAGCTCATATTTACAGCTCATGGCAAGATGAAGGAGCCCTAGAACTCCTCATCACAATCCACAAGACACCAAGCCTGAAGGAACAATTCAGTTGAGACATCAGCTCTTTCAGATAAAATGCAGCTTACTCAACTAATCAGAGAGTTTTTTCCCCAAACACAGTGAGCAAGGCTTAATTAAGAACATAATGTCATGTGTGAAGGACATTTTGTTAAAAATACACTGCATGTTCTCTATTTTTTTCATATGATGTGACATATAATGGGCACTGAACCAAAACACCACAGAAGTATGTGGTTTATGCTATCTCACTGGAGTACCAAATAACATTTAACATCGAGAAAGTATTGCAGACATATAGTAGAGGATCTCTAAATGTTCCTTTACAGTATTGCTACAATAATTGCTTTTCTTCCATGTTACCACAGCCATTTAGAAGCCTTTATAGAGAGCTAGTCATCATAAAACATCTTAACCTCATTTGGAAAATATGTACAACCATTTTGTTACTTCTCCTTCCCTGTCTCCTAATCTAGACTTCATATTGAGCCCAGTTTTCCATTTTTTTAGCAGCATACATTACAAGCAAATCTATTCAAGTCAATAAAATTACTCCTTCCTGAAGAAGGAATCAGTCCTCTGCAAAAAACCAGAGTCTAACAGGTAATTTTCCACTGCAACTCTTACCATAAAACAGGTTACAGAAATTACTTTTTATCTAACACTGAAAGTAAACAATTGATGCAAAATGTGCACTGTTTTTAAAGACAGTACGTTCACTACCTGTGCCCTTTATATGTAATTACTTTCATCTGAGTAAGCAGACAGTTAAGTAAGACTACCATCAAGCCTATTGATCATGCAAAACAGGCAGCTGAACATCTCCATTTATTTGTGCGTTATTTTACCTTTTGTTCCCCCCTCGGAAAGCACGTGGAATCCATGAGACATTTTCACGCACCACTGCTTGCAGGAGAACGTCAAGTCACCTTTTATGCCCTCAGGCAAATGTCTCCTACCTGATCTCAGTAACTGTCTGTATCAAAATTGTTTTTCATACCTTGTGTAAGCAGCTGGAGGTTTCGGACTTCTTCTCTCACCTTCAGCTGAAGGACTTGCTGCAGAATGTGCTGTCGCAGGCTTTCCTGGGCAATACCCATTCGTTCAAGCTTTTTGTCAGTAAGTCTCAGCAAAGCACGGCCTGGGTGCAAAAGATACAATGAAAAAATCACCCAAGGATTTCCATTAACGCAATAGTCTCACTCTGACAGTATAATTTGCTACAGAAAAGATTCTCAGCCCTGAAGGACCTCAGCCTGAGAAGATAGTGTTTCATCAGTTAGGTACTTCCTTACTGTTAGAGATCTGTGCACCACTCCTGCCTTTTCTTTCGATTTTCTGTATTGTTCTGGTGTTTTTTTGAGAGATACAGGCATTTAAAATAGGTATCTTATGCCATTTGGGACAACCAATTGCTGTTCTTCAGTGTCAGTTGGTTTCCCACAGGCAGGATATCCCCTATAAGTCTACCATTGACACAGGTGCCTAAGAAGACCCTCATCTCTATTCAATCATCTGTATTACTGTCAAGAAACCAGCAACAGTGGACTTCACAAATTAAATCAATTTCAGATATACTGAGGATGAATATTGTTGAAATTCAGATATATCTATAGTGTAACAGCACCATTCTCCAATATGATTCTGTACTTTATGGTTCAGCTTTCCAAATCCCTCTCAACAGTAAACTATCACAGCAAAACAGAAGAAAATAAAAAGCCAGAGATTTCTATCAATGATATCTAAATAATTCCTGAAAAATATTTTGTCCAACTATAAAAAGACATCTACTCCACTATAAGGAGCCTATGGTCTTTGCAGGCTATCACTCCCAGTTTGTGACTTATCTTTACTATTAGGTTAATGTTGAACCAGAGTCCAAGGCAGATTGTAGATGCTAAAAAATCAATCAATCTACATTTCCCAGATTCTGCTAGTGGAACTCTGACTCCATCTTTTGGGCATCACTGCTATAAATAAACAGGAGGAAGGCTGTACACTGGCTGAGCCAACACTAAGGAAGTATTTGGATCAAGCAGAGAAACAAAGCATCGAGCAGTGCTTTACCAGAGGAAGAAAACCAAAACTTACTTTCTTTGGTCTTCATCACTGCACCACTTCACCAAGAGAGGAGTCTCTTAGTAGTCTTCCACTGACTCTTGATTCCTAGTATATATATTTGTTATCTAAAGGTGCCCTGGCCAATACCAACAAATCAAACTGGAGGTGCATTGATACTACCTTGAAAATGACATGTTGTTTGGTACACTTTTTTAAACAAATTCAACTTTTTACCTCTTCTAGTTCTTTTTAATTGTTAAAAATTCCTTCTTTGATTTCTCAGGTTTTATTCTGAAACCAGAAGAAGATAGCAAAGAGTAGGGTTTCCCTCTGCAACACAACGATCTCTGTGCTACCACTACTGTGGTTTTTGGATGAATGGTACAATTTAGCTCATCAGAAAGTATTACTCAACACAGCAAGATAAGGCCCTTATTCAATCTCCTTCCTTACAAAACAGCAATGAGTACAGAATTTTTATAATTATTTTAATTAAAAAATTTAAGATAAATGCCAAGAGTTTAAAGGGGTGCATAATTTTTGCCCCAAACCAAGCAGTTAGGGGTATGCCCTTCACTAACTGCTAGATTTCACTCACAAGCAGTTCTCTGAAGTGGTTAGTAAAATCTTGATATGATGATGCAATGTAAAATACTGGGATATTACTATTAATAAAGCAAGATGTTACTGATCAGATAAAAATGACAGTGTTCATAGATCTTCTGCCCTTCTGTGTCTCTCAAGCACTACATACTACAGAGGATGACCTTTTGATTAGGAAAGCTTTTTTTGAAATCATAAACAAGAAGAATTCTAAGGGTTAATGTAATAACAAAATATGGAAATTAGTCTCTTACAGATCAATGCCAGCTGTCCAATTCCCCTGGTGATAAAGGCAGCAATAATTACTTCAATTTTTATTTGTCTTATCTCACTAAAACATCTTAAAGCAATTTATAAAGATGTATAACAGTTCAGGAGTATCGTCTGTAATGTCAATCTAGCAACTGAAAGCAAATAAAAAAACAAATCATCAATTTAAAGAGCGACAACACACATCATCTTAGGGCAGAGAGTCAGCAACAGTAATATGAAAGGACAGACAGAGGCCATGCATCTTATCCAGTGCCCTCCACCTGTTTTTGGCCATGGGTAGTCATTACTCTTTCCTTCCTCTGGGCAACTCTTTATTTCACATTCAAATCGGTTTTCTACCCTAGTCATTGCTTTTGGAAGTTGAGTGTGCACAAAAAAGAAACATCTATTTTCAACTCTTGGCATGCCAGTTCCTCTGCAGCTTAGGCTCAAAGCACAATGCCATTGGAAAAAATTGTCTTTGACTCATATTATCTGCAGCAGCTTGCACAAGTTGCCTTAAATTAACTCTTTCTTGCACAAAATCCAAAGTGACATGTTGAGGAAGTGATGAGGCAAGAAAGCAAACATTCAAATGTGGCATTTCAAGAATGCAATAAGTGATCCGAAGTGTGAAAATTCAATCCTCCCCATACTTTCTTTCCCCTCAGCCCTTAGAACAACAACATCCAAGCCAGAACCAGAATAATTTTTCATTCTGATAGCAAATCATGTTCTTTGAAAAGATATTGCTAAAGCCAATTAGTTACCAAGGCCAAGATCCTGATAATCAGTTAATGATTTTGGATGCATTACTGTCTTGCTTCCTGTACTGTACATATCTGAAAGTGTAATGATTTGGTGTTAAGAACTCTGTGTTATTGAACATTGAAACCAATTATCCAGAGAATTTGTAGAATCTCTGTCTTTGGAAGCACTCAAAGCCTGTCTGACAAGGTCCTGAGTTGTACTTGCCCCTGCTTTGAGTAGGGGGTTGGATTAGATGATTGCTAGACATGCCTTCCAACATCATCTGTCCTGTGAAATAACCTGCATGAAGGATCTCAATCTAAAGATCTATTTTCTTTGAAAAAGCTAAGATTAACAAAGGAAATTAATAAAAATACACAAAAGATGGTCGTTTTGTCAAGCATCGTGGTTAAAACAGAGAGACAACTATACAGTAAAAATTCAGGATAGATTTTTAATTTTCAGAGAGTGCTGGATAGAATATATTGTCAAGAGTAGAACATGTGGCAAAAGTAACATTTTCTAAAATTGTACACTGGTCTTTGCTCAGACACAAGTAGAAGGAACTTGACTACCATCGCAGGAAAATTTCCCAACACCACAAAACTAGCACTACCTCTCAGATGTAGCAGCTACCTGCCTAATAGAGAACAGGACACTTTTTTCAAAAGCACCTTGACCAATAGAACCATAAAGATTGCAGTGACAAACATCTAGGCCTTGGCTCTAGCTAGTTGCAAGGCTGGAAATCAAATGTTTTACACAAAACCCCACAATTCCCTCAGTGTCTGTACACATTTTTAGCACATAAACCCCAGCCCTCTCATACTCAGGGCAGATCAGCTGTGGAATGTTTGGAGACACCCTGAGGGCAGATACAAAATATAAAACACTTTCCAGCTTAATAATGGATTGATGGCCTAATTTTTTCTAATATGACTTAGCTGCTGCAGATCTCATTTGATCAAGCTGGGACTAGATGAAAATTTGAATGGAGGGAGAAACATTGCATGCCACAGAAGATTAGCATGAATATAAGCATTGGTCCAATGAGGCTGGCACTGGCCCTAGAGCAAGGAACATGGCACAGTCTGCTGTACCTAATCAGAAATGCTCGTACCTCCCTGCACTGGTATAGCCTATTGCTCTTCACCCAGCTGCCAGTTCACAGACACACAGAGGGACAGCTTGCAAGAAGCCTTGAAAGAATACTTGTGATGCAGGAGAATGGACAGGTAAGAAAGGACTTCTTAAGCATGTAGAAAGAACCAAAGGAGTACAGGCAAATGAGAACAGATAGTTAGTAAGAGCCTGATCTCACACAAAATACTGAAAAAAACTATGAGTAATTTAAAGCTGATGAAAATGATAAACCACTAGTGGGAACAAATGATGTGTGTGAAGTATGGCCAGTAAAGGTGATCTTGTCTCCTGAGTACAATATGATAGGTACACCTAATTAACAAGACGATGTTCAGTTTACTTACCATGGGGCACAGAACCTAGGAAATGAAGTTTCCTGGAGATTCCAAGGACACTAAAAAAGGCCCCAGTGCCAGACCAACAGCCTATGTTCAGAGTGTCAGTAGTGTCAGTAGGAGATGCATTCTGGGAGAGCTACTGGGAGGGCTACTTTCTGAAGTTATTCCCTTTGTACCACAACAACATCCAGAACTATTATACTAGAGTTATTAGAGAGTACATAATTTTAACACCTACTTATTGTCCTGATGTCCCTAAATTTCTTTTTTTGATCTTCCTGATACTGTCTGCTTCTGTAGCTTCCTGGGGTACAAATTCCAGAAGCTCACTCTCCATTTTTGTCTGTCTTATATTGATTTCCTACTACATGCTCCAAGTGTTTGCTAGGTCTTGCATTGCAGGATTTAGTTAACAGGTCAACATTCAGCTGTTGATTCTATGGTCTGTAAACTTCAGTCATATGCCTTTTGGTCATATTTCTGATGGATTCAGCTGACAGACCTAGAAAACCTGAAAAAACAGGAACATAAGATTCCCTAAACCTCTAAATTATGCAAGATGAAAACTTTTTCATCTTTTATACTTTAATGTCACAAATGCCATTTTATTCTTAGTTAATGGATTAACAGTGTGCTTCTCTGATTTTTCAAACATGTTGCTTTTGTGTTTACTTGAAATAGTCTGGTCACAGCTTTCCTCTTGCTTATACAGGCTGAATGTTGGCTTCTTTTGACTTCAGTGCTTAAAAACAAGGCTTGCTGGACATATCAAGCAAGAAATTTCCATGACAGAGACACAGACATTACTATCACTGTTCGGGTGCTGGTGAGACACAAGGATAAAACTCTCATCACATAATCAGGAAAGAATGCAAACAAGAATGGGCAAGAGAGAGGCTATGACTTCATAGTGAGGAATGGCAAAATTATGAGAGGAGGTGAGAAAAAGAATAGTCACCTACAGAACATTAATGGCCTCACGATGGCAGTGGAG